GTTTTATCGCACTCTAAGACGTTCTATCGTTAAATGCGCTGCAACTGAAGTCATTAGCAATGACTCGAGCATGTTGACTAGCGTGCAGACGTCCAATAGCTTGTTGTGGTTGATCTCTCGTTAACCTAGTCATAGCTGGTGTGTTCAGAAAACAAGTGAACGATTGCCATTCAAGCCGGCAATTTATGCCTGAATGCATTTATGATGCACGTGCATCTCGATTTCAATGTTGTGTTTGTGGGAACTTTTCCCTCTCCAAAAACCAAAAACATTTCTAACTTCAGTCTCAAACAATTCTTTATTGGGCAATGCAGGCTATACGACCACGATTCATGTTTTGCTTCATGGGGTATTGCAAGTTTGTGGTGCTGAATTCTAAATGTAGGCCAGAACAATGTTAAGGTTAGGGATGCCTAAATACATCGATGCATTGATACTTTTTCTAAGATGGTACAATTATCAATACATTCAAAACTGTATCGATATTTAGTTTTGAAAGTATGTTTAAATATGTTGTAATATATATTGTTTACATTTTGCAATTGTATCATGTTTTCTTTTATGTTATGAGAGTTATAAATGATTATTTTTCATGCACAAAGATGGGAAATTAGAACTTTTTAATCTCTGAGGATAAAAACTGTTGATCTTTTCATGGACAATCATAAAATATAAAATATTAATGTTCAAAATGTAAATAAATTCACACAATAATGCAGCGAAAATAGGTATCATAATACATATAGAATCATGTCATGAGTATACATATCGATTCATGAAAATTATGTATCGCGCCATCCCTAGTCAAGGTAGAAATAAAGTTAACGAAGTTGTGAAAATAGTATTCACAATTTAAACCTACTAACGTGAAAGTATTGATCTCTGGATCACATAACCTACCCCTTCCTCCCTTTGGAATGCCTCAGAGACTCCTCCTCTGATTCTGCAATTTGAAGATCACATTTCTCCTCTGCCAAGCTCAACGTCTCTTGATCCCGTTCATAATTGTCTGCATTATGTAACATCAAAATGTTAACAATATTATTCTCAAAATGATTATGAACTTAAATTCAAAAGTGAAATTAAGAAATTATAATTTTTCTTCCGAACTGATAAAGTATTTAAAATACTACTAGATTTAGTTATCATCCTAACAACATACATAAATTATGAATTTACAATGTTTCATATTCAGAAACTTTTGTAAAATAAAATTAACTTACCAGGCATAAATTGGATTGGATATGATTTCCACGTCTAACAGGACCATCCGAGACTAGCCCTTAGCCTCTGAATATAAATAATTTTGATACAAACAAATAATTCCTTTTAAACTGAAAAGGAGCTTCAGTGAGATGGGAGATTCCTGACCCAAATAAAACTAGACTTGCTTCAATTAGGTCTTTAGCATTGCAGAAAGGCATAGATGGAAGTAAAAATAATGCAGTTCAGGAACTATGAGACAGGCTAGACCTTTCCTGACTTTTTATAGTCTTTGTCAACTTTGAACTTGATTTGAAGGGTGACCAAAGGAAAAAACTTGTGCCATCAAGTCAATTTGAATGGAATTTAAGAATACCCATAATATCATAAATAGTATGCATGATTGTGATGAAACATATTCAATTTACTCACACAATATACAAAGTTATGTCTTTATTCATGGGTTGCTTCTAAGTCATGTTCAGGATGCAGTTTTGTTAGTCTTCCATGCATAAATGTCAAAACTCACCACTAATACAAAATATGTTGATTTCTTTCAGATTTCTTTTTGATTTTTATTAAAGTTACTATTCCTAATAACGATCATCAATTCTATGATTTATATCAATACCGTCTGCCCAGTGCTGTTCAGAGATGTCGATATTAGGCGACAGTGCAAACTATCAGCCGGTGATGGGCCAATGATGAATGATGCGCACTACCTGAATAGATGCATCAAAGCGGCATTTCCGAAACTGTTGTTATGACTTTGTAAAGGTAACTTACAACAGGAAGAGGTTTTAATTCTTACTGTTTGTATTGAAAGAAATGTTCACCTCAATTTTTAAAAAAAGAAAAAGTTATTTTAAGAAACCCTCGCTTTGAACAAAATTACCCTTTTATGCAATTTGACTGCTAAGGGAACTTAAAAAAACATAAAGACTAATAACATATCCCTGCATAGAAACAGTTGGTCTATTGACCTATCAATAAGTTATAACATGTCTTAATGTTTTTAGTGAGATTCATCCTTGATTTTTCAGTTAATCTTATTCTGTCCTCTGGTGTTTACCCTCTTTCCTATGTTACACAATGTACAGGATTTAGACTTTGAAATGAGGAAATGTTCCTGCATTAAATAAACAAAGATATATCTGCAATGGAATTACGAAAGCTCAAAAAGGGAATTCTGACTGCATTCATGCTCAATATTAAATTAACAGATTCAAGGTTTGACCCAGACAGCCATTACTTGTAGGTAATAAGGTTGTAGGCTACAATCTAAGTATCCAGATTAAGGTAATTAGTATTATTAGCATGAAAATGGTGCAAAATATACTTTTCATCACTTAACACTGATAGACCAGTGGAGGAGATATACTGCACATAAACACCCAAAGGGGCAGGGTTCAAAGCAGGAGTACAAAAAGCTATATTTGAAAGTTAGAAACTCTTGATAAAATAATGTAACTGAAACATTATGGTCAAGTGAGCAGATGCATAATTCCTTTGCATGGAACATTTAGGAAATGTGTAGCTGATATAAAAATGTGTAGTTCAGCTATCAGAGGAAACAGCAAAGAGCGGCAATGGAGAGTGACATCATGAAACTATAACTACAAGATTTCCTCAACACTGCAGTATCAGATCATTATTTGAGCAAACCCATGCCAATGAGGTATTAACCCCATGGTCTAATAGAGGGTGACAAGCACTGATGCAGTCAAAATATGCAGTGTGGGTGATAAAACGGGTTGTAATGTGTAATGCTATCTCTCTATTTGGCCTTTAAATAATTTTATTGAATTCAAGTCTTACAGGTTTGGTTAGTTCCTGAATTAGAAATGGTTTGTGTACTGTTTTGGGTTTTTTATTTATCTATTAGTTGGTAGATATATATTTAAAATAAGAAAAAAATATATCGGTGCGAAAAGTCAGTCTGATGTATACCCTGAATATCAGGCGTCAGAATGAGAGCCTTTTGAGGGTTTTTTTCTTGCCGCACCGGAACTGACCGCAAGGGGTTCATAAATTACATGGTTTCCTATCTGCTGACCGACTAGATATGCGTCTAAGCACAAGGATGTACGCTGGCCTAAAAGAAAAAGGTCAATTTCACTCACTGAGTGAACATACAATGCGCTATGATTAGCTGTTACGGGGTGTGGATCTAGTCTGTCTCACAGTCCCTGAACCACAATAGTATTTTCCTTACTGCCTAGCCCTTTCTGCAATGCTAAAGCCCTAAATGAAACAAGTCTAGATTTCCTCAGATTCTGGTTTCCCTGGGGCTCCTTTTCAATTTATAATGGGTTTGTTTGTGACTATCAAACTTTTAGATATTCAGAGACTAAGCGATAGTCTAGGTGTGGATCAAGTGGCAACATGATACGAGACCTCACAATCGCGATCAAGTTACTGGCAAACAATTTCTACCGATTGCGAAATCTTGAAATAAAGTGTGTCATAGGACAGGCATCGCCTTTGATACAATTCACATGCTGCTGTTTTCAACAAAATACTCCGATTACGGTACAAACCATGCATTTTCCATAGCTTTGTGCTGCCAAGTCACCTCGTGTGTAGTGCGCGAAAACTGTAGCGAACGGGGTCGGAATTGACACAAAACGTGAAACATGAATTCAATTTATTTACAGATTATTACAGTGTTATTTTGATTGAAGTATGAAATGTATTAAGCATGTAAACATGTTCTTGGTGGCATATTAGTATTGTCTGTCGGCTCCCACAATATCTACAAAGATTATTGAATTATGAGCTAAGTGCTCATTTCGACATTGCCGCTTTTTAACTTTCACTATTTTGACGCACAGCCATATTGCCGAAAGTTAGTGTGAGCGAAACAGTAATGTTATGGCGAACACTAAACGATGTGTATATTTGAAAAAACTGTACAAAACCTAATAGCATATATCTAGACAATAATTTCTCCATTGTTTATTTCTGAACATATATCCAGGTGTTAGAGAATTTTATAGAAAACCCTGTGTCGCCGAAAGGTCGCAGACGCTATATACATAATATTTTTGTTTTTTTCTATAACAGCACTGAAGTTTTATAAAAGTACAAAAGAAGCCCACCTGAAGGTCCTGAGACGACCTTCTATCCAACCATCCACTTTGGGATAGTTATTAAAGAATATGAACATAGTTGTGACATTCAGATACAGTGGAAACCTGATAAGTAAAATTTCAAGGGACTCGCCAAAATTGTTTACTTATCAGGTATTTTACTTATCCAAACTTATAAAAACCTGCAAATGACAACCATATGCATGTATATGTATGCATATATAACAATGAACAACTTATCAGGGCTGGCAGTGTATTGTCAACTGCTTGACGCCAGCGAGCTGTAAGTAGGATGTTTGTTTGACTGGAGACTGACACGACTCCCCCTCATGTCGGATTATGTGGTGATCGCTAATTTAGTTATCCAGTCTCTTTTGTTAGGTAATTTACTTCCAGGGACCGTGAGAAGACGTTTAGTTAAGCGGTATTGTTTACTTATCCGAGTTTAGTTAACCGGACTCTAATAGTGATAATTAATGAAGAAAGTTGCCGGGACCAAAGAAAAGTGTTTACTTATCAGGTCTGTTTAGTTAAGCGGTCTTTACTTAGGCGGTTTCCACTGTATTTAGGCAAAAGAAATATATCCTTAGGGCGACAGCTGTTGCCTAAAGGTCGCACAAATGTCGCCCAAAGGTCGACATTATCTCTCTATATATATATATTACATGCTTGGTATGTTTTTGTTTTTCATTTTTTAACTTCCAGGCACCTGATGCATTAGGTGTGGTACCATTCAAACCAACTGCAGTCTTTGTCAAGAGGAAAGTGCCTTACTTCAGTCTCAAGGTATTATGTTGACATTTGTCATTTTACAGAGATCATCAGTGAAAACATTGATCTGTTATTTTCACACAATCAATTGCCAAGCCAACATGTGCATTTTTGCATTTTTGGTATGTTTGATGCCCATGTAATAGGATTATACTATGATCTATCGAATTGCATATCTGGCAAAAACTCTTCTTCCAGATACTATATTATTAATATTAAAACTTATCCTATCTCACAGTATGCACTTCTCTCTCTTACCTTAACCATGGAGTTGAAACGTGCTGTAAGCAGAGTTGAACAAACTTTCTGGCCTCTCTTGAACCTCCTGCCCGAACACCCATTCATGTACACCTCATTGAAAGAATGCAAGGTGCTCAGGACAGTCACATGACACCCCTCTCTAGTCATTCTCTTTCTTGTCACACAGGAGTGTGGACGTGTTTGAGCTCTGTCTCTGTCTGTTACTCTGCTTTGCTACATTATGGGCAAAAGTAATCGTGGAAGAGGAAGTATTGTGATAGATGCAAGAAACCTTTTCTGTTGTGGATCCCCACTCGCAATGCATCAGTTGTATTGGTCTGAGTGACTGTTCTCAACAATGTTCTTTCTGTGCTGCTGCTGCTGACTTTGCGGCCTAGGGAATTATGGGAAAGAATAATCGCTCTACCAGGAAATATTGTGACAGGTGTAGTAAGAACTTTCTTTCTACGGATCCCCATACTTTATGCGTGGGTTGCATCGGCTGGTGCGATTTGTCTGGTCGTTGCTCTTACTGAGCTCTATTAGATGATGATGCTTTTACTGCTTATTGGAGGGTTGGTAGCAGGTGAGTGGCAGACAGGGACCGTAGGAGACCTTCCAAGGGTTCCTCAGCTTGGCGTTCTTCACCCTCACCGGAGGAGGATTCTTTTGATGTTCCATCGGACTCTTATCTCATAGTGAGAATCTGTGACGTTTATTCCATCCATATTTCTAGTCCAGTTCATACTTCGCCTTCCCAGTCATGTCCAACGGCTCTCGTGACAATCTCTCAGGAACGGCAGTATCAGCTCCAAGTGTCAGTGAGTCTCATTTTTCGGGTTCGGCGATCACCGTTTCTACAATTACTTATTGTAGTGCGGACTTATGGTCGGATTTTCCCCCAGCTCCAGTGATGCATTCAAGTGCAACAATTCCCCTCTGTTTGGTGGCCCTGATTAGCTCTACAACTCCATTCCTCACGATACATCAGCCCACCTCTGCTCTACCACTTGATTCGGCGCTCCAGCATGGTGCGCACTTTCAGTTCGATGCAGTGCGGTGCTTCAGTCTAGTGCACTGATCCCGTACGGTTTGGCTCTTCATACCCGTGTGCCGTTCTCGTTCGGTTCAGTGATTCAGCCCAGTGTGCCGCTCTCATTTGGTTCGGCGCTACAGCCCTGTGTGCCGCTCCCATTTGGTTCACCACTTCAGACCAGTGCACCCATCTCGTTTGGTTTGGCGCTTCAGCCCAGTGCGCCGCTCCCTTTTGGTTCAGCGCTTCAGACCAGTGTGCCGCTCCCGTTTCATTCAACGCTTCAGCCCAGTGTGCCACTCCCTTTTGGTTCGGCACTTCAGACCAGTGCACCTTTCCCGTTTGGTTCAGCGCTTCTGACCAGTGCGCCACTCCCGTTTGGTTCGGCGCTTCAGCCCAGTGCGCCTCTCCTGGTTGGTTTGGTGCTTCCCTACAGTGTGCCACTCCCAATAGGCCCGACACTCCTGACCAATGATGGGTTCAGACTTACAGACCAGTGCGCCACTCCTGTTTGGTTCGGCGCTTCAGCCCAGTGCACCTCTCCTGGTTGGTTTGGTGGTTCCCTACAGTGTGCCTCTCCCAATAGGCCCGACACTCCTGACCAGTGATGGGTTCAGACTTACAGACCAGTGCGCCGCTCCCGTTTGGTTCGGCGCTTCAGCCCAGTGCGCCTCTCTTGGTTGGTTTGGTGCTTCCCTACAGTGTGCCACTCCCAATAGGCCCGACACTCCTGACCAGTGATGGGTTCAGACTTACAGACCAGTGCACCACTCGCATTTGGCTCAACGTTCCAAGCTAGTTCGACGCTCCCTCTTAGTTCAATGGTCTCGCCTACATCTAACTGTACCGTTTGTCGGTTCCTATTAGTGTGGCGCTCCCTCTCCGGCCGGTTTTGACATCATTTTAACAGACTTTGTCTCCTTCTACCACACCATCTATGTCTTTCTGACCTGTTATTCCTGTCTCTTGGGATCATGCACAGGTTAGTACCGGTCCCCAGCCTTTTGACTTTGACGCTGTAGGTCGAGTAGTAGCCACTGCTCTCGGCTGGGACCCTCCCCAAACGGCTAATTTTCCTCAGGTTTTGCGGGATCCGTCGCCTGGTCCTTCTTTGGATGAAGCTCACCTTTCTGCCTATATTTCAGAGGCATCGCAAGTTTCTCCGATTCATCTACAAGGGCATCCACTATCAGTGGCGTGTCCTCACATTTGGAATTTCAGCGGCCCTGTGGTTATTCCCTCGAGTCATAAAGCCAATTACTCAGTTTCTCCACCGCAAAGGGTTTGTATTCGAGGCCTACATAGACGACTATTTTTAGGCGCAGAGAGTTTCTTCGTCTGCGTAGTCGGCGATCTCCACGCGCCGATCTCTCTACCCAGGGAGCACCATTCCCAATCTTCAATGGTGGTTGTTAGAAACAAATGTCTGCGGAGGAGTCTCTTTAAGGCTGTTTGCTCCAGTACATCACCTGTTCGTAGATGCCTCTCTACACGGGTGGGGAACTCATCTACTAGATCTTCAAGTGGCAGGGCTGTGATCTCCTGAAGATCAAGTCTGTCATATCAACATGTTGGAGTTAAGGGCAGTAATACTGGCAATAACTCACCGGAAGCATCTTCTTCAGTCAGCCAGTCAACTGGTTCGCTCAGACAGTGCCACGATGGTCTGGTACATCAACCAGATGGGATCCACGGGTTCTCCACAGCTACTTCATTGGGCTCAGCAGTTCTTCAGCCTCGTGGACTCGCTGAACATCACAGTCAGAGCAAATCACATCCAAGGGGTGCAGAGCATCATTGCAGATTCGCTGTCCCGATCAGCTCGGCCATCCCCAACAGAGTGGAAGCTGGAAGGGCCTCAACGCATATACCTTTCCACCTCTGGCATATGCCTTTTCTCTCTCGAGTTCTATTCAAGCTGTGAATGACTCAGAAGATAACACTGCTTTTGGTCGTTCCTTACTGGCCAGTCAGACGTTGGTTTGTTGACCTACAAGAGCTTGCTGATCCAAACCCAGTACCGCTTCCCGATCGAAACGACGTCCTGATCCACCCTCACCCAGATCAGCTCCATTGGTTTCCCCAGACACTCCATCTACACGCTTGACGCATCTGCATAAGTCCTTGATTGCTTAGGGTTATTCTAAGCGAGTGGCTACGGCTATTACTACAGCTCATCATACTGTTACACCATCACTCTACGATGATAAATGGAAGACTTTTGAAGCTTATTGCAAGCTGAAGGGCATCACTTCCCCTACTTCAGCATCACAACAGAAGTCCCTGAACTCCAGTCTCTACTACGCTCATATAAGGTCTTCCTCAGACATCTTGCCTCAGAGAAATTTTATATGAACCTTTGGCAGAGAAAGATTTCGAGCATATCACCTTCAAGACCTTCTTCTTCATGACACGCATCTCGGAACTTCATGCTCAAGATGTCAACCGAGTGTGTTTTGAAAAAAAAAAGCATGCTAGAGTTTTCCTTGGCTTAAGGTGGGACTTTATTGCCAAGAAGTTGCAAGGACAGCCAGACAGACTCTTCATCATTCCACCGCTGTCCACGATCTTGGGGCCTGACGACACTGAGGATCTCTCCCAATGCCCTGTCATGGCTTTACAGGTTTATCTTGCTGTGTCTCAAGACTGTCGTAGGCAAGAGACTTTTCATCCCATTGTCTACAGTTTCATCAGCAGAAATCTTGCGTATAACCTTGGTGTTTTGGATGAGCTCTGTCATCCTACGCACCTATGCCTATGCTGACCTTACACCACCTACTACCGCCAACCCTCACGAGACAAACGATTGTGCTCCACAGCAACTGTTCTCTTAACACCATCATGGAGGGTTGTTTCTGGAAGTCTAACACAGTCTTCACCTCTCACTATCTCCAAGATTTATCCATCACTGATGTGGAGGGCCTACACCAGTTTGGTCCGTTGGTGCTAGCACAGCAGCTTTCGTCAGCCCGTCACCGCAGGTGAAGGGGCAGTCCGTCACGTTTATCTTGCTACCTTGTACTTTAATAAAAGGTATCGATGTCATCTTTTTTGTCTAGTTCTACTTTACTTGAGCATCACCTCGCCTGGCATAGTTGGAGCATTATTCGTACGGTCATACCCATGTCTCTATAGACTGTGAGGCCAGTCATGATCTACATGCAGAGGGGATTGACATTCCACATACAAACCTCTACTCTCTCAGCAATTACGTCAGTGAAGTATTGATTTCCAAATACCTACGGTGTTTTAGAAGTGTTCCCTCCTAAGTTCCTTTCTCATCTTAGGATGATTGATTGGTACTGAACCTTAAACGAGTAGAGCACCGGGCTGTCTTCCCTTTCACCGCCTTCCAGAGTATGTCTGTGGGGGATGGTTTCATAGCAGGGACTGTCCGGAGTAAGATCTTAGACTTTAATTCACTGGGGTCTTCTGAAAAATTGTGGGGAAGCTGGGCTTACTTGGCAAACTGTGTCATTTTGTCTTGAACAAAAGTTGATTTGGGACCGCCCACTCCCTAGAGTCTTTGTGCTGTGTAAGTCAAGGGGTTTATCAATCAGAAGCAATCCATCACAAGTATTGGAGTTTGGCATATCGAGAATTGGTGCTTTCTCCAGGCCTCCTTGTGCAATGTTATACGTACGACACATTGCAATCTGGGGCCCACATCCAACCGTGGGATAAATGCATACTGTGAGATAGGATCAGTTTAAAAATTTGGAAATTTTAACTATAACTTGTATATTTATAATGCATATCCTATCTCTCGCTATGGATTCCCACCCGACCTTCCCCACATCACAGATTACTTTGGGTTCCAAGACGAGAATGACAGTAGTAGGATGTCATTTGACCGTCCTGAGCTCTTAGCACGCTTTACAGGGATGATTGACATGTCCAGAAATGGGAGTGGTGGGGAGCAATTGGGTGGGAGAGAGGCCAGAAGATTTTATTCAACTTTGCCAACCACACGTTTCCACACCATGGTCAAAGTAGGAGAGAGAAGTGCATACCCTGAGATAGGATAAGTATGATCAATTTACAACTTATAGTTAAAATTTCCAAATATGTGGTGCCAAAATAGATTTAGATTTCCTATGTGTACAAGATCTGTTTACTTTACTATGACATGTATGGTGCATTATTGTATTTCTTCTTTATATAAATTCCAATCGCACCTTGAATTTTTTTATTAAAAAGTACCCAGTCGTGATGAATACAGATAGGAGTTAAAAACTGTAGGCAGCATAAGGAATAATGAATATAAATGAAAATTTTATATAAATAATTCACTTATGGCCATGGATTTCTCGATCGACTACAACTATGTCATTTTTCCAGGTTGCAAAACAGTACTCCCTGCTCAGCTACAAGAAGCATGATACCCAGACTGCCTCTAGTGGATACATCTCACCCAAACTCACCCAACCTCTCCGAACTGGAGCACAGGTAAGTCAATGTCATCCTTGGTTCATTGGCCATATTCCTTGGACAGTCTTATTACTCTCGTCCTTTCATATAAGTGATATTCTCAACACTTGGATGATATGTGGGGGGTACCTCACTGTGCCCCCTGCCTTTGTTTCAGGGTGTGAAGCAGTCACCCATGGTTAACTAACTGACAACGGGGGGATTAACAAGGGATTAAGTACAGCCTGTTCTGAAATTTATTGTATCACAGCATATTACATTCACACATGATACATGAAACATGATACTCGCATTTACATCACCATTTGACTTACACACCAACAAGTTGAACAATGCTTCACACATGCTACATGACACCTTTAAATTATTATGCATAAAACATCATACTCCATTTCACTTATACACCAACAATGCGTGATACTGCATCTGCATATTCAATTGGAGTGATTCTACCTTGCAGCAGATTGTCATTCAGGATGCTGTCGAGGTGACGATATTTCGGTCTTTAGGGTCTCAGCCTTCCGCCAACACCCAACTGCAGGATCATGGTCTCGGTGTAGCACTGTTCCTTCTTGATCATATACCATGATCTCTGGGGCAAGTGGCATGTTGATCTGGGCAGGCTTGTCTTTAAGGGTCTGGAAGAAATGTTTGTAGGTGGACATCTTCTTGTCGGGCAACAAGGTGTAGACCAATCTCAGCATTTTCTCACCTACAAGAGCATGGATGGAATATAGCTGTTTGTAGATGTCTGGGCACATAGCAAAGGTTCCAAAGTAGATATCAGCAGCGGATAGATGATGCAAATTCTGGAGATCTGTGGCAGATGTTGGTAGTCTGGGGATGTTCTTCGCCCGGGAAGGTGATTGTGAATATCAAGATAGGTGGTAACGAGGTTGTTGTGTGTTGATGGTAGCAGAACATCCTTTCTTGCAGCAATGCCAATGGATACTGTTGGGTTTGGTGTTCTTCTTTCTAAATTGATGACCACGAAATACAAGATTCTGTCCTCCTTGAGAGTTGTTGACAAATCACACATTAACATTAGCCATAATGGTATGCCAGAGAATGACAGGGAATTGGTTTATAGGAATTCAGTTGACACATGTCACTTTAAAGGAGAACCCACTCTTACTATGAGTTTCAATCATTTAATTTACTTACATGATATCAACTCACTTATATATTCTACCAAATAATTTGATTTGTTGATTGAACACAGTTCACTGTCAGTTGCAGACACTAATTAGCTGCTGGGGCTCAGAGCCAGTTAATACCTTGTCACAACACGTCCTCACTTAATCCCTTGTCATTACATTTAGCTGGGGTGCACAGTGAGGTTAAACTGAATTGTGGAACCAGCTACCATTGGGGCATTTCATATAATTGTAGAATAACCATGATTTTTATAACATCTCTGATGGAGAGAACATTGTTACAGTAAAGTTGCTCTCATATGCTTACACATTTTATATTTGTATGTCATTGGTCCCCTTTTGCAGGTTTTTTGTTCATTGCAGTTGCATTGTCAGTATGTTTTAAAGAGTCTGAGGATATGTTATGACGGTTTCTTATTTGTGAGGAATATGATATGTCTCAAATATTCTCAAACCAAACATGGATAGTGTTGATCACATGATTACTTTTTATTTATTCATTTAGCTGACTTGTACCCAGGAAAATCACAATGAAGAAATTAAATGAGAATTGTTTGAATTCATTCTTTTTCTGACTAACTTTCTTTGAGGGATTTTTTTTATTTTTTATTTTTTATTATAGGATATTTATATAGCGCACATATCCACGCACTAGTGCATGCTCAAGGCGCTGGTATTTTTTCCCTCGATCATTGGATGTCAATCTCAACGGCACATCGCATTATCAAACTCAACTCCCTGGGGATTATACAACTCTTGCAGCCACTAGGCGCACAGAGTTATTGTGGCTTTCTCATCCTAACGAGGTACCCATTCACAGCTGGGTGGACTGGGACACATAGTCACAGTACTTTGTCCATGTTCACTGCACGTTGCTGTACCCGCAACTAGGTGTTTGCATGTATTCATGTGGCCACCATCTGGTCAAATACCAACGGATTCATGGGTTCTTTTAAGTGCAAAGGGTTGTGACAACACCGAAAGAGTCTGCACACAAAGTTGACAGGTGGGCTCGATCTCGACACCTCAACCTCGCTGGATCACTAGCCTGGCGCCTTAGCCAGCTCGCCCACCGCGCCCCATTTGAGAAGTAAATGGTGCAACTGAGGCAAAAATTGAAGTTCATCAAAGTTTTGAAATAATTTTTGATCAAATAGTAGTGGGCATATTTTTATATGTGAAAAGGAGACATACACCACTCAACTTTGGCATGGATCTTTTTTGACATTTACAAATTGTCTGAAAATGTTGACTTTATATTACATTTCTTCAGCAATCTGGAATAATTCAAACACAACTGTGACTATTTCTGACAGTGAGCAGCTGTTCATACACTTTCAGCTGACAACTCAAAATCTCTTGAGACTTATTTCTTCCCAATGACTTCTTATTATTGTGTGCTTTGAGCATGCACTGTGCATGGATATATGCACCATACAAATGGACTATTATGATATATTGTGTCTGCATTTCAGGATGAGGTAATCAAATTATCAGCCTTTGTAGGCACTGAGAGTTCCTATCTGGAGGAGAAACCGGTAGATGATGTGGCACTTGAAGATGTTACCGACTCCAGTCATGAGCTTGCGGAGAGGACCAAGAAAGAGACATTATCTCCCCCGGAAGCACTATTTAAACCCATTGAATATCCTCCTCTTCATATATTTGTGAGTAATGGTCTTGGAGTTACATTTTAACTGTAAACCTAAAATATTACATGTAAATTTTACTTCTATGACTATCTGAAAATTGTGCTTACCGGTTGTATCGATGGCAGCTTGTATATATGATTGACTGAATTTGTTTTGTGAAATAAGTAGGGTGGTGTGTGTTTAAAGTATAAATGTGTTGGTTTAATGTGTAAGCTGTAAGTTTGCCTAGTGGGATCTTCCTTAACAATGATAACACCCACAGGTTTGTCTTGTCTAAACTCAGTTATTAAAATGCTTGCTTACATGTGTGGCATATTTAAGCATATATTTTGTAACTGTAATGGTTATTTGTGAGGTTTTTTTATATGTTTCAGAATCCAGCCCCAGGGTTACAGGTATTTCAGGCTCCCATCCCATATGCTGAGGTTGACCCAGACTTCCATCTGTGTCCCCTTCCCCGCTATGCCAGGAAAGATTTTACGACCAACCCTCATGCCTCCACACAGAGACACTATCTGGATAGAGAGGTGAGCCTACTTGCTCCCACCGGAAGGCATATGTTTACACAACACAATGTATGATGAATGTACAAAGATAACAATATGATGGCAAAGCCATTCGTGAATGTAGGTACTGCCAGCTTTCTAGAAACTTCTACATCTCATATGGTTAGCCTAGTGGTTAAAGCCTTTGCTCATCATGCCGAAGAACAGAACAGAACAGAATTTTATTTCAGTAACAGGCCTCCGGCCCAAAATACATGTACATAAATTGATGATAAGTAGAGCACATATATATTTCATTTAGATTTGTGTTTCTTGTCAACAAAGTATAAAAATAGACATACATCCTTGATAATATTAAAAAAATTTACTCTGTAATATTGATATAAAATTAATAATTGATGGACATTTACTAAAATATTTTGATATGTACTTATTTCTGATATGAGAATATGCATCACAGATATAAAACACATGCCATTCATCTTCAACAACGAAGATACCATTTAATTTACAAAACAGGCAATGCCTTTCATTATATGCAACATCAGTGTATCTGCCCGTTTCAACTGCTAGTTTAAAATTACAGCACCGAAATCGGGCATATATAGTTTTTAAATATTGAGGGATATCATTATTTATCAAGTAGCTCTCAACATTTAACAAAGATTTGAATTGCTTATAGTAAAGACATTTACAGTTACTGTCCAAAGATGAATGCCAAGATTGAAATAAATTATCATGTAGTCTCTGTTTAAATGATTCCATAAATATTTTGTGATCACCAATTTCCTGACTTATGCCGAAGATACAGGTTTGATTCCCTAGATGGGTACAATGTGTGAACCCCATTTCTGGTGTCCTTGGCCTTGATGTTGCTGGAATTATTGCCAAAAGCGGCGTAAAACTAAACTCAAACTCAAAGTGACACTAAAGTACTGTCGGAAATAGAAAAAAACTGTTTTTTCGCATTTATATCTACAATTTATGTAGTTAATATGTGAAAATGTGAAATATCTGTTAAACTAAGTTCGGGCTAACTACAGTCTCAGTGGTAGGGAGTGAGGAAACGTAGAAAAAGGACTTTACTGAGGAGAGATTAGTGCAGAAATGAGCAATGCAGTTTTTTTCTAAGTCGAAAGCAACTTATTTGGAACAGACCATGACTTTATGCAAATTAGTGTGCGATGACATTGTATTACAAGGGAAACTTTTTAAATGCCCATTTTGAAATTAAAATTAGCTTCATTATAAACGATAGCTGACGTAAAGAATAATAACTTTAAGACAAAAACTATAAGGATTCAGCTCCCAAGATGTCTCGCTATCACTATAAAAAGAAACAGGTAGAAGGGGTCATCTCAAAAGCAAAACCAGGATGGGTGTCACAGACGGTGGTGGGGGTCGGGCTAGGGGATAGAGATATCCGGTAAGATGAGATAATCCTTTGGGGGAATTAAACTGGGGCAGTAAATGGCATGTTATAACAATTTACAAATAATATCCAGTCCTGTCGATCTTCGGGTGGTCATGTCATATATATATATTTTTAGACATTTAATACAATGACTAATGTAAGCTTTTCTATGGGTATCATGCTCTTTTAGATATCTCAACATAAACTTTATGAAAGAAAGACATGTAAGTTAATCAATAGATGAGACATGTACAACGCACATTAAAAAGCATAAAATATCTTTGAGGTGACCCCTTGTGCCTGTATGCAGCATATGCATTTTATGCCAGGTGAGTCGACGGTCCGTCGTCATACTTGGCTGAGCGACCTAATTGCCATCTATAGTCTGATCTATTGTTTTCAGCAGCTATTCATATTTTTTCTAAGTTTTGCCCAATTTTATGAGTAAACATGCTTTTCTGGACATCCTATTACGCATCCCGTTGAATGCCCAGTTAGGCTGATGTGGGTCATTTCGACATATGCTATTTGCAGTTGTGTAAAGTTTAGGAATACAGAGTAACAGCCTAAAACAGGGTTTTTTTCCTATTTCCGACAGTACTTTAACTCTACATCTCATGATCGAGATGTCAGCAACCAAGGGAGGTAACTGTAAGATCCCATTCACTTCTGACTGAGGCCTTTTCCTAGATCATCCACTATTTGCTGACATTCCATCCTCAGATATTATTTCAGCCTGTTTACAGCATGGGACTTGTTATATTAGCTTGAGCAAGGTACTCTAGTGTTGCATGTGATTTTAGTGATCATGTATTTCACCAGACTGAAGGTATGTTTTGTTTTTGTTATGGTGTCTTGGGCCCCCCAGAAATTGCAGTGAATGATCTGCTTCTGTTTTCAGAGGCCTTGCAATAACTTTCTTATTTTCTACAACTGATTTTATGAAGCATTTTCAGATTGGGTGACATTTATCAGTTTAATGTTGTTAAGAACTGCATTTACCCTGTCTCTTTATTATGCTTGTATATCTGACAGGATGTTGTGCGTGGTGTAATGGGGTGGAAGAAGTTCCCATCTCAGGGTCTCACTTCCCTCAGCAACACCCCTACCCTCTCTGCTGTTTGGGTGGCCAGGTGGTAAGTATAGTATGACCAGAAATTATTGAGAATTTTAGAAATATGTTAATTGGATTTCTACTATAAACAACCTTGAACAGCTATCAAGTGCTTGGTTTCATTCAAGAGAGACAACTCCGTTAATCCTTTTTCATTAGTTTGTGAAGAGTTATCCCCCTTTAGTTATTTGCTAGCAGACAACATTTTCTGTGATCCTCAGTATGGATGATTTAGAGAAGAGGAAGTTGATTTTAGAGTATTATAACAAGGACATCAGATCAGCTAAAGTGATTTCAAGTAGAACAGAAAATTGGCTACAGAAATTTTAACTGGGACAATGTGATTTTCTCAGATGAAAGTTCTGTGTGGCTGTTTCCTAATACACTGAAATTCTGGACCAAACAAACTGAAAAACCTTTGTATCAGCGCCCAAAGTACAGTCCGAAATTTAACGTGTGGGGTGGCATATCTGTGTTAGGGGCAACGCCCCTCTGTGTATTTGAAGGGAATATGAACAGTGTGAGCGGTACACAGATATTCTCGAGGGACATTTACTTCCATCTGCTCACGTGTTCTATGGAAAGTTTTGGATTTTCCAGCAGGACAACGACCCAAAACATCGTTCAAAGCATTCACAGGCCTGGTTTCGGACCCAAAATATGACATTTGTGAATTGGCCAAGCTTTTGCCCTGACCTAAATCCAATAGAAAATGTTTGGGGACTTGTGAAGGAAAGTGTCAATAAGAAAAATCGGACAAATATTGCTGAAATGAAAGAAGAGGTGGTCCGATATTGGGACAGCATGGACCAACTTCTTTGATCAGTAGTATGCCCTGCCGCATTGAAGCCTGCATTGCTGCCCATGGTGACTTGACGAAATACTCACTGTTCACCTGTCTTTCAATCTGGTGTTATGTTTTGCTAATATTCACATTTAATACGTGACTATGAGTGAAAAAAACATAAAAAATTACAATCTTAAATTCTCAATAATTTCTGGTTGTACTGTATATTTAATTGCCAGGATAAAATGTAATTTATATGTCATGTAGAAAATGGTCAAATGTAATGTATGTTATATTCGGGATTACACTTTCTCGGTAAGGTACAGATTCTAGTACTTTGTAACCTCAGTACCAGTTGTCAGACTTACATTTTTGTGGAAGCCATATTGGCTGATTAGGTTACTTTGCTGACTGTGTGTGCTGGCAATTATTGACGGCCTCTGAGAGTGTGAGCCCAAATCCTGGATAAGATAAGTGATAAGATAAGATAATACTTTATTATCCCGAGGGAAATTTTGGTTACATTGTAAAACACTTAGAACACAACAAATTCTGTCTTGGCACATATCAGGAGAGTGCCCTGGTTCTCCATCGAGAGCACAGCCCTTCTGACATTCTGGGTAATGCAGAAGGCTGCAGTGTTTGGGAGTCTACATATTCTCCGGAAAGTTCTTGATGGGTTCGACAAGGCAGCATTCCTGGGAGAAGTCCCGTTCACTGCCTGGGCTGCGTGTAGAGGGGTCAAGGGCCCTGAGCTGATAATGAGCCTTAACAGCCTGACTGTGCCAGGATCACCCAAACCCTCTCTGCTGGATACTACTGTATCTTTAATATGTAAAACATTATAATAAGGGACTGATGATGTCCACCTCTCCCAGGTGGGCCTAGATAGGGGAACTGTATTCCCTGAACTAAACATACATCACCCAGTTAGGGCTGAACCCCCTGAAGCTGGGTAACTACTAGGTTACAGACAAACAAGGAGCAAATCACCTTTCAACTCCGCAGCCCAGTCAGCCTTCCTCCGGTAGTGACACCAACCATGCTGGAAATGGGACTTGCCCCAGGGGGAGGCACACAACCCGACCAAGAATATTTTGATCAAACCACCACACTACTTGAGTGTGCGAAAGTGACAGGGTGGCCTGAAAATCCATGTGTCAAAGGCAAGTTAAGCTGCATTGGGACAATGCCATGCCAATGTATGAGACCAATCTCCGAGACCAATTCGGGGACTTAAAAATCCCAGGCGCGCCATGAGCCGGTTAAGGCTACAATTGGTGCATGCCCCTCAGGAACCTTTGCATGAGCAAGTGGCAGCAGACCCAAACTTCTAATGGACGTCCGTGTCAACCTCTTTCCCTTAATGATGCAAACTCTGCCGGCATAGAGCCAATTGGCCCCGAAATTTCTGACCCTCGCTCTTCTTCTTCCTCAGTTGCAGATATTTCTGAAAATCTTGTTTACATTTTGTTTAACTCTATTTATGAGGAAATTTGTGGTTTACCTTCAGAAAAACGGAGGCCAATTAAACAACTAATCATGTCTTTTCCCCAAAATGAAATTGATTTACTTAATGAAGCTATTTCTCCAAAACTTTCTCTGGACTGTTCATTATATGAAGCTAATTGTTGTGTCTATGCTGCCGCTCAAACTTTGGAGGAACTTCACACAGTTTCCAAAGAAAAAGCATCTAATGATAATAACAACAGACCAAAGGAAAACCGGTTTCTAGTAAAACTTAATGAAACTAGAAGAAGCATTTCCTGGACAGAGCTGTGCCTTAAAATAACATCGTCAGGGAACCCAGTGTAATATAAGACAACGAAAGAAAAGAACCTTCTTCGAATTGTCGATTCCCTTAATGCAAAATTAAAGGTTTTTGCTGAAAGAAAGAAAAAATGGGAAAAGAACAAATTTATCAAACCAAATATACTCTTTAGAAACAATGAGAAGCATTTATTTTGCCTTATCCTGACTCAAATTATTTGCTTCTCTCCCCTTTCTGCCCGAAGTATAGTGGAAACCTCTGTTTCCATGTTTCCAAGAACAGTAAAAATATCTCACCCAAATGCGCCTCCCCCCATGCATGCACACCATCATCCCCATGACCATACGTTAACTCATCACTCTCTCCATTTTGCCCAACAGTACGGTTGGGAGGGAGATTCCTCTGTTGAACAATCCCGACTAATCCTCTTTTATAATGAGAATTGGTGCTTGGATCTTCTTCATATATCCTTTGTGCAACTGCAATTTTATTGCTGAGTGCGGCGTAAAACTAAACTCACTCCAACTGCAAGTTAAGTTCTGTGCCCCTCTTGGCGATAACGAATTTGCAAATTACTTACTTGCAAACGCAAAGAGATGGACAAATCACTTAGACTCATCTTATGAAGGCAGCCATCATATAGCTTGAATATTGCTCAGTGTGCCAAATATCAAACTTAATTAGTGAATGTGTATGGGTATGTTGGTGCATTAATGTTAAAAAAATTGATTATGTTGTCTACATACTATTGAAGTTAATTTTATTGACTTGCAGGGATGACCAGTTCGGTGATGAGATGCTGTCCAAAGATGTTCCCGCGTTATTTGATGGTCTCCCCGAGGATGACATGGAAACCATTGAGTAAGAATGCATTTGTTGTTTTGGAATAGGTCTTAAAGCTTAATAGAGAAAAGGCCCTTTGCCTACAGATGTATTGGCAGAGGCATAAAATTTAGCACATCATTTGGCTTGTCAAATGCATGGACCAAGTTTCATTCCAGAAACTGATGCAGAATTTAAAAACTGGGCTTTCATGAGTTAAAATTAAAGTATCCTTAAATCCTCATTTGCTAAACAAACACTTCACCTTAACCCTGAAGTTACTGTGAAGACAATGGAGACAATGTTTGTATTTTTCCTTATCCTGACTCATGTATCTTTGCTTGTCTCGTTCCCTTCCCGAACGTTAGTGGAACACTTGTATCTCCTTTTTGAAGCTCCCTTCAATAAAGCAGACGTAAAATCACTACTCACCATGAGTTGTCTTCGTTTCGGTTTTGGCGGGAAAACGGCGCCACCCGTCTTCCCACGCTTCACTCTCTCCTTCTTCGCCCTAGTGGACGGTTGGGAGAGCACCTGTGTCTCCAATAAGCACTATATCCTTTGATAACGTAGTTATTTCCCTATAAGTTACCTTTATAAGGTTTCAGGGAGTATCCTTCTACAATATGGTTTGAAATTTATTCATAATTTGACTGTTTATTCACGGTTTTACGTGATTGTTCAGTTTGTTTACATTTCATGAAAACCTCTTTTCGTTGTAGGTTTAGGTTCTCTGCTGCAGACCCGCATTACTGTGCCCTAGTTGCACAACAATATGTACTTCCAGCTCTCGCTGTAAATTATGTCAGCAACTAACAAAAATTGAATTTAATAATTATTATTTCTTTGTACTTAGAAACGTGCTAAGGGTAAATCCAGGCGGCTGTTACAAGTCATGGCTAAACCGGCTGAGTCCCTTAAGAGCTGTCTGTCGTTGTCAGACGACATACTTCCATCCAGTGACCTGCCGGAGGCGTCTTCAGAAGATGGGCGTGGGATGTAGTCCGCCAATACGTCGAAGGAAAGATCTTCTACGTCGGACAACTCCTCAACCCATACGAAGAAGAGGCCATCTTCGTTGCAGAAGAAGCCTTACACCCCTAAGGCTTCAATGAGATCTACTGGGTGCTCTTCACAGACTGCAAGGACCTTCTCTGCCGAGATCGTCCCGATGGAAGAAATAGGCTTGTACGAAGAACCGCCTATCCTCATCCCAGAGATACTGCATAAGAAGAAGACGCAGGCTTCAGCAACAGTAACGTCAGCACAGTCTGAGTTACCTTCTACACTGGCAGCAGGGACCCATGGGTTACAGCGATCCCTGGACCATATCGCTACCCTCTCAGATGCGTCATCTCTACAGTCATCGCAGGCATTCAACCCCGGGACCTTCATGCAGCAATTCTCCCAACAGATGATGGACCTGATGGAGAAGCGCTTCGCTTAGGAAAGGACCTTGCATGGTGGTCAGGCAGCCGCCTCTCATGCTCAAGTCAGGACCAGTGCTGCATAAAGGACCCCGCACCGGTGGTGCATCTGAGATATCTACAAGAGGTTCTAGCTCTAGGACTAAAAGCAGACCTACGCTGCACGACGTCAACGAACCTGCGCGAAGGAAGGGACATTCATCCGACCAAAATAGATCGTCATCTGATGATGCTAATGAAGAGCCTTCACGCAGGCTACATACATCACAGAGAGGCTTACACCTCCAAGAAAATACAGAGATGTCTCAGGACTCAGACCCTCAACAAAGATCTCTCACCTGCGCGAAGGTCGTCAGATAGATCATCAAGAATGTCACCATCACCATGCAGGTCGTCACAGGATTCACCACATAGGAAGGCAACCCCGGACACGTAGACGCTCACCTCCACACAGGTCGCCATACAAGATCTCCTCTTAGAACTACACGATATCGCTACCATCTCAGATACGACATCTCTACAATCGTCGCAGACATTCAACCCCGGGGCCTTTATGCAGCAATTCTCTCAACAAATGATGGAGATGATGGAGAAGCGCTTCGCACGCATGATGGACAGCCAGGCGGTTCTCATGCTCAAGTCATCAACCTCAGAGAGGATCCAGAGCTGCACGAAGGACCCCACACTGATGATACATCTGAGAGGCCTACCAGAGAATCTAGCTCTAGGACTAAGAGCAGATCTATGCTACATGACGTCAGCAAATCTGCGCGCAGGACGACACGCTCTTCAGAACCAATGAGATCGTCATCAGATGATGAGGCTAATGAAGAACCTTCACGCAGGCTACCCACTTCACAGAGAAAGAAACCTACACCACCTAGAGGGTCTAGAGAGACATCTCGGGACTCAGACCCTCAACAAAATCTCTCACCTGCGCGAAGGTCATCTGAATTATCTTCAAGGGCGTCAATAACACCTCGCAGATCGGGATTCACCACGTAGATGCCACGCAGATCGCCACGTAGATCGCCACGCAGATCTCCAAGGATATTCGACGATCATATACCAGTGGACATGATACAGAGGACGATGGCGGTATCATATTTTCGGACTCAGAGATAAAATATTAGATGGCTAATGGACTGGACCTGGCGTCACCCTCAAAGGAAGAGATCTTCGCCGGCGCAGAGACTGAGGGACACGTGTTAAATTCAAGAGGGGTACTCTTGTCCGAATTCATCACCTGCGCAGATCTTCAGACTGAATCCAGGACGGGATTCACATCGTTGAGAAAATTTAGATAGATATATCTACATCAGAAGATAATAATGGGACTCATGTCCATATAGAGATCTTCACTTGCGTACAGATCTTCAGGTATTCACATTGGCGTGGTTCAGCAGCAGCCTTGCTAAGGCTATGAAGTTACAAGATTGATGTAAACTACAAAATCAGCAACGACTCCCTTTGTAGAACTTACAACAAAGTTGACCATCAACTCTACAAGGACCTGTGTGCTTCAACACAAAGAGGGTATTTTACGACACTTCATTGAGATCGATGAATGCAGTCTACAAGTGGCAGCGCTGAGGAGGTGTACACTTCAGCTGATCACCTGTATAAAAGGACGACTGCATTATCTTCAGGTCTGAAGTAACAGTCACAGCAGCCAGGGAAACTGCCTACCTACATCGGTATTACGCGGCGAAATATTTCGCGCGTTTACCATGCAACCCTCTATACACATGGTCACTCGTATAACTCCGGAAGGCTACGGACAAGACCGAGTGTTGATAAGATATCAACGACTGCACAAGATTCTACAAGGACCTTTTTTCTGCTACACCGGTGACGTCACATCGCGGGAAGCTAAAGGAATCAAAATGCTTCATTTTGATTGGTCCATGAGAGACAACGCCCTGCGCAGAAGTCGGATGTAGTTCATTTGTCAGGGAATTGTTACAACCAAGTAACAACAACCTTTCAACGAGGGAGGAAGGCCTCAATTACAGTCCAGTTAGACGGGAACTACGTGATTCGGCTGTCTTCACGGGGTTAGATACCTTCCCTGTCAGCATTGTAGACGATTCATCAGGCGAATTGCAGCAACATACATTTGACGGACTTTTGATGACGGCAGCCAGTCTACTTTATATAGACTTCACAACGATGGCAGTCACAGAGTCGGACATTGCTTCGTTTCCCTTACGGACATGGCAAGGGTTTCACGGCATAGCAGTACCAGTGGACCGTTGGCTAAAGATACAACAGATGGTATCGCAAGCTCTACTCTCTCCGTGGCCACTACGACAGTGGTAGAGCCTGTTGGGCCTCCTCACATCAGCACAGGATATGACGCGCAGAAAGAGATTACAACTACGCCCACTACAGGTCTTCGTGAATGTACATCTGGATGATCCGGACCCCTTCGGACTCCCGGACAGACTAAAACCACATCTAATATGGTGGACTCAGAGATCGAATGTTTGCGGAGGCACCTACTTAGCAGAGCCGGAGTGCAAGACGCATCTGTATGTGGACGCATCGCTCCAAGGTTGGGGAGCACACCTCGACAACGAAGTGTCAGCTGGGAAATGGACAATAGACGAGAAAGATCTGCACATCAACATGCTGGAAATGAAAGCAGTGATAAACGCCATACTCCACTGGACCAGCATTTTAAAGAATGCTCATCTAACGGTACACATGGACAACTCCACAGTGGCGTTCTACATAAACAGACAAGGATCAACAAGGTCGGCGAACCTTCTGGACCTCTGCTTTCAACTGTTCAGCATAATAGACAATCTGAACATCCACATAAAAGCATGCCACATCCCAGGAGCCAAGAATGTGATAGCAGACGCACTATCTAGGCCAACTCAGCCATCCCCAACAGAATGGATGCTACATCCAGAGATCTTCAAACAGATCATACAAGAGATAGGAGCGTCACTAATAGACCTATTTGCCACAAGATTCAACAATCAACTGGTAACATTCGTCTCTCCAATACCAGATCCACGAGCATGGGCAACAGATGCTCTAAGCATCTCTTGGGAAGGACTAAACGCTTACGCATTTCCACCACCAGCTCTAATACCGAAAGTGTTGCAGAAAATCATACAGACGAAGAACCTGCAACTGATTTTGGTCGCGCCTTACTGGCCAGCGAGAATATGGTTCCCCATTCTCATACAAGAACTTAAGGACCGCCTCAACTGCAACTACCAGAGTGGATGAACTTGCTAGTACATCCACACACAAAGCAAGCACACGGCAACCCACAGGTGTTCCGGCTACACGCGTGGAGCGTATCAAGGCGAGCTTGAATAAGAGAGGATATTCCGCCAGAGCAGCGAAAGCAGCAACACGCAACTTGTACGACGACAAATGGCGAAGCTTCGAGACCTACGCCTTCAAAACAGGCTTCACAGCCATAAAAGCGACACACCCTCAAGTGGCGGACTATCTTTGTCACCTAAGACAACCGAAGCGGTTGAAAGGGTCAACACTCTCAACATACCTAGCGGCATTGAGCTCAGTTATCACTATGAGGACGAGTGTAAAACTGACTAAGGTACCAGAGTTACTGGCCTTACTACGCTC